AGCATACACAAATCAGTAAATATACCACATCAACATAGTAAAGGACAAAACCCATGTGATGATCTCAATAGATGCAAAAAAAGTATATAATTCAACATCCCTTCATGATAAAAATGCTGAACACATTATGTATTCATTATGAAAGTAATATATATCCACATAATGGACCCCATATATAAATAAGTCAGTTAAAATACTGAATGGGGGAAAAACAGATTTCTCTGTAAGATCTGGAATGACACAAGGATTCCCCTTTTATCTCTGCTATTCAACATGGTAATTATGACAGTTGTAGCCAGAAAAGTCAAGAGAAAGAATAAAGGGCATCCAAATTGGAAAAGTTACATTGTTGCTTTAAAAATGACATGGTCTTATGTCAAGAAAACTTTTAGAACTCCACTGAGAAATGATCAGAATAAATGAATTCAGCAAAGTTTCAGGATACACAATCAATATACAAAAATCAGTAGTGTTGATATATGCCTATGGCAAAATATCTGAAATTGATATCAAGAAAGCAGTACCATGTACAGTAGACAAAAAAAAAATTACCTAAGAATAAACTTAACCAGAGGTAAAAGAGCTATATAATGAAAAGTACAAAATATTGATTAAAGGAATTGAAGAAGACACCAAAAATGGAAAGTCACCCTATATTCATGGATTGGAAGAATCAATATTATTAATTTATTCATGCTACACAAAGCAATCTATAGAGTCAATGTATGCAATCCCTACCAAAACACCAATAACATTTTTTATACAACTAAAAAAAAATTCTAAAATATATATGGGGCTGCAGTTGTGGCTCAGCGGTAGAGCGCTCACCTTGCACGTGCGAGACCCTGGGTTCAATCCTCAGCACCACATAAAAATAAATAAGTGAAATAAAGATATTGTGTCCAACTACAACTAAAAATAAATATTAAGAAAAATAAAATAAAAATATATATGAAACAATAAGGGACTGGGGATATAGCTCAGTTGGTAGAGTGCTTGCTTCATATATGGAATACCAATAATAACAGAAAAACCTCCATTTGACCAAAACAATATAAGCAAAACACAAAGCAGGAGAAGTTATTTTACCTACCTTCAAAATATACTACAAAGCTACGATAATCAAAACTGCACACTGGGTGGCATAAACAACAAACACACAAACCAATGGAACAGAATAGAAAGCCCAGAAATAAACTGGCATATCTATAGTCAATTGATTTTCAACAAAGGGGCTAAAAACATGCACTGGATAAAGAATAGTCTTTTCAATACATCATATTCAGAAGAGTAGATAACTACATGCAGAAGAATGAAATGAGATCTCCTCAAAAAATCAAGTCAAAATGAGTCATAAATCAAATTGAAACTAATAGAAGAAAAATATAGAAAATTCTTCAGGACATTGGAATGGACAGAATTTTTTCTCAAACAAGATACAAAACACATAGGAAACAAAAATAAATGAGATTATATCAAAGTAACAAACTTCTATATAACAAAAGAAAAAAATCAAAAAATGAAAGGACAACCTAGAGAAGAGGACAAAATTTTGTAAACTGTAAATCCCACAAGTGGTTGATATTTAAAATATATAAGGAATTTTGGGGGCTGGGGATATGGCTCAAGTAGTAGTGCGCTCACCTGGCATGCGTGAGGCACTGGGTTCAATCCTCAGCACCACATAAAAATAAAATAAAGATATCGTGTCTACCTAAAAGCTAAAAAAAAATAATTTTTTTTWAAAAATATGTAAGAAATTTCAAAAAATAGCAAAAAAAGCAAATAGCCTGATTTAAAAATGGAAATAGACATAAACAGACATTTCTCAAAGAAGACATTCAAATGGTCAAGATATATATGAAAAAATATTCAATATATTAGCCATCAGGGAAATACAAATCAAAATCACAATGATATCTCACTCCAGTATGAATGGCTATTATTGAAAAGACAAAGGATAACAAGTATGGCAAGGATGTAGAGAAAAGAAAACCCTTGCACACTATTGTGGGAATATAAATGAATACATCCATTATGGAAAACACTATGAAAGTGCCTCAAAAATTTAAAAATAGACTATCAAATAATCCAAAAATCCCCTTACATGGTACATATCCAAGGAAATGAAATCAGAATGTTGAAACAACATCTGCACACCTGTGTGCATTGTTGCAATATTCATAGTCACTAAGAAATGGAAAAACAATCTAAATATTCATTACCTGATGAATGGATAAAGAAAATGTGGTACATATATTCTTAAAAAATTATGAATTCTTGTTATTTGTGACAATATGGTTAGAACTAGAGATCATAATGTTAAGTGAGATAAACTGTGCACATAAAAACAGTATTACATGTTGTAATTCAATGTGGAATCTTTTTAAAAAGCTGTTCTCCTGGAAGTTGGGAGTAGATGGTGGTTACCAGAGGTTGAGAAGAGAATATTGTAGGAAAAGGTACTTGATAAATGGGTACCAATTTACTGTGTGGAAGAAAAAGTTTTGGTATGCTATTGCACAGTAGGATGACTACAGAGAATGGTAAAATACCGTAAAAACACAAAGATGGAAGAAAGTCTTTTCAATATTTTTCCCATGAAGAAATGATACTTGAAGACATAGATATATTTACCTGATTTAAACATTATAAAATGTATAATTGTATCAGAACATCACAAAGTAACACATAAAAATTTATCAGTTAAAAAATAAATTTAATTAATAGGTTTTAAAAACACAATGATAAATTAGAAAAGAACAAGTTTTTGAAAGCTCATACATTGCTAGTGAGAATGTAAAATGGTACATCTGCTACAGAAAACAATTTGACATCTCCTCAAAAAGTGAAATTGAATTCCCATTTTGACCCAGCAATTTCACTTTTAGGTATATATTCATAATATAGATGCTTCTTAACTTACCATGGAAAGGTATCCTAATAAACCCATCATAAATTGAAAATATTATAAATCAAAAAATGCATTTATTAAACCTAACCTACTAAACAGTACAGAAGAGAGTGTTGGTTGTTTATTCTCTTGATTGAGTGGCTGACTGGGAACTGCAGCTAGCTGCCATTGCTCAGCAATGGGAAAGAGTATTTTATCACTAGCCCAGGAAAAGATCAAAATTAAAAATTTAATGTATGATTTCTATGAAGTGCATGTCACCTTTGAGCCACTGTAAAGTCAAAAAAATTTAAATCAGGGACCATGTGTAATTGAAAGTAGTTGTTTAAGCCAAAAGTTGTATGTGAATGTTCACAGTAGCTGTAACTAGTGGTCAAAAGGTGGAAACAATACAAATGCCCATCAACTGATGAATGGATAAACAAAATGCATATCATATGCATATATTCATATGCAATGAATATAATTCAGATATAAAAAGGAATGAACTTTGAATTCATGCTGAAATATGCATGAACTTTGAAAACATTTTTACTAAGTAAAAGAAACCATRTACAAAAAGTTACATAATGTATATGAAATAACAAAAATAGACAAATCCTTAGAGATAGTAAATACTTCATTTAGTTTGCATATTAATATTCTAGTATTGGGACTTGAACCCAGGGTCTCATATGAGAGGTAGCTACTCTGTCACTTAACCCTATCACAGCTTTTTTTATTTTATTTTGAGATGGTAATGCTAAGCTGTCCAGTTGATTCTTAAAACTCCTAATCCTCCTGCCACAGCTTCCTTCCCACTAATAGGGATTACAGGCATGCACCATGATATCTAGCACTTTGCTAATATTTTGTTGACAATTTTTATGCCTATTTTTTTCACATTACCTTTATTTTATTTGTCTATTTTTATATGGTACCAGGGATCGAACTCAATGCCTCATGCATGCTAGGCAAGCATTCTGTCACTGAGCCACAACTCTGGCCCCTTTTATGCCTATGTTTATGAGGGATATTGGTATTTAATTTTCTTTTCTTGTAAATATTTTCCCCTGGTTTAGTTTGAGGATAATGCTGATTTCATTGAATGAACTAGAAAGTATTCTATACTTTAAAATGGTACATCTCCTGTTTTGTAAATGAGTTTTTTAAAAATTGTGATAGTCATCATTATCCAAAGTACATGTATGAAGACATGAATTGGTGTGAGTAGACTTGGTATAAACCAGAATATGAAAAATTGTGTTCTATATGTGTAATATGAATTATAATATATTCCACTGTCAATTAAATTTGTAAAAATTAATTAAAAATAGCAATACAATAAAATTTTTTATTTTCTTTCAGTTATACATGACAGTAGAATGTATTTTGACGTATTATACATACATGGAATGTAACTTCTCATTTTGTAGTTGTACATGATGTGGAGTTACACTGGTCATGTATTCATAAATGAATATAGGAAAGTTATGTCCTATTCATTTTACTGTATTTCCCATTCCCCCTCCCTTTCCCGAACTTCTCCTTTTCCAACTGGGTGAACCTCCTCTGTCCACGGACCCCACCGCCTATTTTGAGTTAGCATCCTTATATCAGAGATGATATTAGGCCTTTGGTGTTTGGGGATTGGCTTAAAGCTGGGAATTTATGAGGTTAATGAATTTTTACAGAATTGACATTACATTATTTATTAATGAGTCATGACTCAATTTTAAATAGGCTTAGTGATTTGTTTTCATATTTTGCTAATTTCAAAATTATCTGTTATCTTTTTCATTGAATAGAAGCAATTTTACTTAAGAATATCATTCATTTTCCATAGGCCATTTTAAACTGCTATCACAAATAAAGTCTTACAGTAAAATCTAAGGAATTGTTCTTTGTTCAACCTTTAGATTTTGGTATATTAGTTAAAAAATAAACTATTGTTTTGAGTTTAGAAATGATTGATTGATTTTCACTGATTTTCATTAGAATTGTATTTTAAAATAAAAAAAATAACAGTAACTCAAATTTTTATACATTTGGAGTGATGATGATTTTTTATGTGGTGTACTTTAATTAATACTATTTTTTTATCTAGTCATGCAGATGGATCAATAAAATTTTGGGATGCTTCTGCAAGTAAGTTTTAAGTTTATACCTGTATAATCGAAAACACTTGGTTAATATTTACTTGTAGCATTCACCACTTTTTAGTTTGGACAGCTAACATTTAAGTAATATTTTTAGCCTAAATGTATGGCTGTTACAAAGATCTATTTCCTATATTGTTAGATCATTTAAAATTTTATATATATATATATATATATTGCTCTTTTCTATAATAGAGAGCAAATAGAACTAAGTCACTCTGTCAGCAATCTATTTTATTTACAAAGGGCATAGTGCACCAGAAAATAATCTCAAATTTTTGTCACATTAACTGTATTGAAGGAATTTCCTTTGCCTCCTTGGTTGTTTGGTCTTGGACAAGTGCTTTTATCCCTCTAGCCTTGACTTTTCATTTCCACTCATTTACTAAGTCCTGTGGAAATCAAAGTAAATTATTTGATAATAGTAAAATTTTTTTATAAATTCTTGAAAATGTGTAATTTAGAAATAAATAGTGTTATGCTCAATGTTGAAGGACATGCAAATATCCTTAATTCTTCAATATGCCCATTTTCTTTAGAAAATTTACACTCCTAAGAAAAGACAAATGCACATACATAAATCAAGGCAAAACAAATAAGAATTGTAAATGTAGTACAACCCAAATTCTATTTTTTATCAGAAATAGCAGAGATTAACTTGGACCTAGTAGATCCAGGAACTACATTTTAATGGAGTAACAATTGATATGAATTTTTGAAAGACAATTAAGATTTTAATAGGAATAGAATGAGATGAATAAATTGATAATGATTCTAAGTTCCTGAGCATGTGCAATTCAGGAAAATGTAGTTAACTCTAGGAAATAAGGAATATGAAAGGTTTTGAGGCCTGAATTTTGCAGTAACACCTGAAAATCCAAATTTCTAGCTGATAGAACAAACAGAAATGGAAACTAATGAAAGTTATATTTGAAGCTATAGAAATGAAGAGCCCTTGAGGCAGAATAATAAACAGAAAAAAGCAAAGGACAAAGTTGATTCTTGATTCTCCTATCCACATGGTTGAGTCCTGAAGCAATCAAGCAAACCATCAGCATTAGAAAAAGATTAAAAGATCTAAAGCCTTGGATTCTGAGCCTCTTTCTGACTTCTCACAATAAAGAGCAAGTGATTTAAGTGAATCTCAAAAGGGCAACAGATTTTCTTTTGAAGAATCTTTTCATGCAAATCTGAGTTTATTCCTGGAACAAAATTAATACATAGTCATTCCTTAGCTTCTAAAATGAAAGAGGACCCTTTAACTCTGCAGCTATTAGAAGGCATAGCACCCCTTAGCATGCATAATAATGTTAAGAAGTTAATTTTAATAAAACACTATTTTTATTACATCCATTGCCAATTTAGAAACTATTTTAGTTTTATATTGTTTAAAGAGATCATTTACAGAATAATGTAAAAAGAAAAATAATCTGACATGCTCTATAACTTTCATCCAGATTTCCCAAATTTCAGTTTGTCCTACATATGTTTCCCCACCCCAGTCTATCTTACTTTCTTTCCCTTTTCCCCTCCTTCTCTCCCTCTCCTTTTCTTCTTCTTCTTTTTCATTCTCCTTCTACCGTTCTGTCACACTGATACACACATATATAAACAAAAGATGCACATACAATATGTATCTAGCTTTTTAAAACCATTTGAGAGTGGACACCATGTTCTTCTAATGCTACATACCTAAATACACAAATAAGGGTATTATTTTCTATAACCTAAATAGAGTTATCAAAACCAAACTACTTCTTATATAAAGCTATTATCTCATAATCTTCAGATCTTATTAAACTTTTGCCAATTTTCCAAATAATATCCTTTATTAAAAAAAGAAATTCTAGGATAGTATTTAGTTATTTAGTATTTAGTTAGGGTAGTATTTAGTTATCAATATATATTGAGTCTTTATTTCATGACATTGATATTTTTTAGTTCAGGACAGTTACAAAAGAAGAATCACCTTCAATTTGGTTTTGACTAATGCTTCTGATGATTAAATTTAGATTGTGCACTTTGTGAAAGAATTCTTGATTTTTTGAGATTTTTGTCAGAAAACAGTTGTAACTTCAGATGGGTTGTTATCATGTTCTCAAATGGAAAAATATTTCCCCCAAAATATTCTTGAAAACAATTCCCAAATCCAAAGCTTATGAGATAATATTTTATCCTTTTTTGATGCAGAGTCATTCAGAAGAACTCTTTCTTAAAATAATTACAGATTCTTTGATTTCCAAATATTGCTGGCTGGTAAATTACAGTGTTTCTCATCCAGCAGAAGTAACTTTTTTTTTTTTTTGAGTGCAAGTGCATTAAACACTTTGGGGTAGCATCAATCATTTTTGTAGCAATCAAAAGGGAATATTATGAAAAAAGATTGATGAATCTCCTGTAGGAGAGAATTATATTCAGTATTTCCATTGTAAAATTTCTTTACCACACTTTCAGTCTATAAGGATAAAAAATACCTATGTCGTAGGACTTTTCTTGGCAAATACATATTGCTTGATAGATGGTGATGCTCAAAGAATGTTCCCCCTTCCCCCATGGTCTCCTTCCCAGTACTATAGTGATATGAGATCATTACATTGAATGTAATGTAATTTTCCTTACTTGGGTTTTTTGTGGTCTAATTAATATTGAATAAGCTTTAACAATATCCTAATTAGAAAGTAACTGTGTTTCAATGTCTTGCAGTAACTCTGCAGATGTTGTACAAGCTAAAAACTTCAAAAGTCTTTGAAAAACAGAAGGCAGGAGAAGGCAAACAAACATGTGAAATTGTAGAGGAAGATCCATATGCCATTCAGATGATTTACTGGTGTCCAGAGAGCAGAATATTTTGTGTATCAGGAGTCTCTGCCTATGTAATAATTTATAAATTCAGCAGACATGAAATTACAACAGAAATAGTGGTAAGTTATTATTTAAAGTTTAACTTTTGCACTTGCAGTTGTTAAAAGAAAACAATTATCAGATTTGGGCTACTTGGTATGGTTTTAAGCCATCAAGAGTGTATAATATGTGGGGCTAGGGTCATGGCTCAGCCATAGAGTGCTCGCCTAGCATGTACAAGGCCCTAGGTTTATTCCTCAGCACCACATAAAAGTAAATAAATAAAATGAAGGTATTGAGTCCAACTACAACTAAAAAATAAATATTTTTAAAAGTGTGTATAGCATGTGACCACTAATAATTCATAATGTAATTCAGAATTCAGAATTTTATTACTTAATATAACATGTCTTAGTTTAAAATTACAGAACAGTTCTCTATCAAAATTTAATTACTTTCTTTCTGTGTCAAAATGAGCTTAGTATTTTAAGGTAATCTTGCTATTAAAAATCATATGGTTCTCATTTTCCTCAATGATTTCTCTAATTGCTGTTATAAATATATAAAATGTAGTATGTTGATTTTAAATCCTTTGGGTATACCCAAGGAGTGAGATAACTGGGTCAAATGGTGCTTTCAATTCCAAGTTTTCTGCAGAATCTTCATACTGCTTTCCAAAGTATTACACTAGTTTGCAGTCTCATAAGCAATATATAAGTGTACTCTTTTCCCCACAGTCTCACCAACATTTATTGTTACTTGTATTCTTGTTACTTGTATAATTGCCATTCTGACTAGAGTGAGATGGAATCCCAGTATGGCTTTAATTTGTATTCCTCAAATTGCTATAGATGTTGAACATGTCTTCATATATTTGTTCTTTTCAGAAGTGTCTGTTTAGTTCCTTTGCCCATTTATTGATTGGGTTATTTGGTTTTTTGAGCTCTTTGTATAACCTGGATATTAATGCTCTATCTGAGGAGCAAGCGGCACAGATTTTCTGCCATTCTGTTGGCTCTCTACAGGCTCTTGATTGCTTCCATGTGTGAAGAAGCTTTTTAGTTTGATACCATTCTGTTTATTGAGTTTTGGTCTTACTTCTTGAACTTTTGGAGTCTTGTTGAGGAGTTTTTAAACCAATGAAATATTGTAGTTATTTGAGATTATGAGGCTCTGATGAGATAAATTAAATCTAATTTAAGATACCTCTAGATAATAGACCTAGTCTGCTTTACCATTTTACCAGAAAATGAAGATTTATTTACTCTAAGTATAAGTATTATAAATCAATAGCTAAAATTAATATCACTTTTTAATATTATATTAAAATCCTGAGCTTTAAATCATACATACCTATGTTTTACTTCTAGCTTTACCATTGAATACCTATGTGTCTGTCACTGCCACTTACAAGGCTGTAGGCAGTACTAGAATCTGAGTATAATTCACTTTTATTTCCTACATAATTTTCTGTGTAAATAAAATGGAAAATAAAAATGAACTGGAAGTACTAATAGCAATTTCATAGGGCTTTTATGATGATTATATAAAAATATTAGTAGCATTTAAGTACTCAATAATCGATAATTATTATTTTCATCACTATTGGATTTTATCTTAAACAGTCACCTTAGTAAGATTGCTATATTATCATTATCATACCTCATATTATCATTTTTGTGTTTTCAATCTCAAGAATGTACATTTTAACATTATATATTTGTTATAAAATCAATTGTTGTTTTTTTTGAGTTGCTAGGGATCATATCAGGGTCTCATACTTACTAGGCAAACACTCTACCACTAAGCTTCATCTCTAACCCTTAATATCAGTTTTAATTAAAGCATTTAATGCAATCATAAGTACTATTTTAAAATAATTTAGTTTTTAAAAATGTTTTTTGATTACCTATAAAAATCATCATTATGTAATTAGGATCAAGCTAATGAAATTAAACAAGTAAAAGCTATAGTAATAAAACAAATATAAAAAATGTGGAATAGGGGTGGGAGGGAAAGGGAAAGAGAAGGAGAATAGCAAGGATAGTGGAAGGAGACAGTCATCATTATACAAAATTCATGTATGAAGATGTGAATTTGGTATCAACATACCTTATATACAGAGATTTGATAAATTGTGGTATAAAGGTGTATTAAGAATTGTAATGCAAAAAAATATTATGAATGTAATGCATTCCACTATTGTCATGTTGGTACAAAATAAATAAATAAATGTTTAAAATTTTAAAAAATGTGGAATTTCTTTTGGAAAACTTTTACTGAATTAGAGACAAAGTGAAAGGAAAGTTTTTTAAACTAAAAGTTTTGTACAAATAATATGAACCCATACACACTAATGTACATACAGTTTAATTTCTTTCATTGGACTAATCATGATGACTTTCTCATTTATTGTTCATATATTAAAATACAGTTTATAGTTTATCTTAAGAAATATTTATTATAGAAAAACTTTATCTCCACTGGCAGGGTATTTTTCTTATAATTCTGGAGGATAAAAATTACTTTTCCATGACTGTCATTGAGTTTTCCGTATAATCCACTACTTAATTCAGTTTGAGATACCTGTCAACGTTACTGTAAGTTGAAATTGAACATATTAATCTGAAAAATAGTAAATAATTACTAACAGCTATCAAATATATTAATGTGATTATTATTTTGATGTAGGTTAAACTAAAACTTGATTTTTATTAAGTCATTAGAGGTACGACTTCAGTATGATGTGGAAGATATTATTACTCCTGAACCAGAAACAAGTCCTCCATTTCCAGATCTCTCAACCCAGCTTCCTCCTTCAAGGAGTCTTTCAGGGAGCACTAACACCGTGGCTAGCGAAGGAGTCACAAAGGACAGTATCCCATGCCTCAAGTAAGAGTTTTAAATTGTAAGGGTTTAAAATTTTTAATTTTAACAGTACTTTACATATAAATCATATAATTCTTGAAAACTGTGGCAAATAAATTCACTGTTCTCTCTTAAGTTGTTGTCAAGTGATTTTCAATCCACCAAAGGGGGTACCCTGGTCTCTTCTTTAACATCCATGAAAAGGGCACAGTATTTTCATCCTTCATTTACTTTATACATTTCTCTATATACCAGAAAGATCCTAAGGAAAACATGGCTTTGATGGAATAGGAAGTTTGGCATGGCAAAAATTGTACACTTGCTTGGTACTTTTCAGTTGAAAAAATAAGTTTATGAATTTTTTTTAACCTTCCTAGAATAAAAAGAAAACCAAGGTTACTATTTACTCTTAGAAAATATATTATAAAATGTCTCTCATGATTGCTACCATATTGTATAATATTTCTTTTCTATAACTGTTGCTGTTATTCAATATATTTTAACAAAGTTTAGCATCATTATCAAATAAAACCTAGTTAATAAAATTTATCTTAATTGTTGTACTTTTTAGTATAAGGTATAAAGTATTACAGGTATAAAGGAATCATAAAGGACAGTATCCCATGACTTAAGTATTACTGCTTCTCTACTGTCAAAACAATGTTTCTAGTGTTAATTGAATGAAGAATTAAGCCAAAATAAGGAATTTCTCTAAGCCCCATATGAAAATACATGTCTTTTCATTGAAAAACTTTAGATATCTAGTTTCCTCATTTCTTATGAAAACAGAAAATTTAGAGATAAGATTTTAGGAACAAACTCTATGCAGTTAGTAGTAATTCTTAATTTTTCTCCCCAAATTTTTCTTATGAAGTTAAAAAAAAAACTAATGAGTGGGGGGACAGAAAACTTTCATAATGCTATGAATTTATATATTTAATTTTCCCTTTATATCACTTTGCTTATTTGGTTTCTTTAAAAATTAAAACTGCAAAGAGAACACAAAAGTACAAGAAAGCACTGTAAATCTATTTGTTAAATTAGAAGATTTTCATGAAAGCATGAGTCTTTTAATTTCCAAAACCTTTTTTCTTTAAAGTTAAATAATTTTTTCAATGTTGATAAGAGACTAAAACCAATAAAATCAACAAACATAGTGGAGATGATGTGAGCAATAACAATTGTTGAAGTGTAATAGAAGGATTGATTTGTAAAATAGTAAAGAAAATCTTAAGGATAATAAAGAGAATCAAAGTGGGAAAATTAGCATAATCCTATGTTGTGCTTAGGGTCTAAGAACCATGAAGCATAACTGATGCAAGTAGTATTATTAAGTGAATTTCATTCTGACTGGGTTTATAAATTGTATATAATCCACACTTTGTTAAAGTGTACATTGGCGTTCATCCCTAAGTCCCTTTCCTTTGCTGAATTTAGTCTGCCATATGTATTAGCTAATTAAAAAGTATTTCAATCATCAACTCTTAATTTTTAGCAACATTACAATTCTTATCAATATATTCATGCTTAAGCAATAATTTGATTTTTAAAAAAATTTCACCTATGTTACTCTGTATGTGACTCTAGTCACATATGTCTTGTTAAGAGGATGAGATTTAAAGAAAAAATTGAAGTGAAGGAATTAGCCAAAGAATATATAGACAAAGAATGTTACAGGCAGAAAAAAACAGCTAGAGTAAAGGCCTTAAAGTGCTTGGCGTGTTCAAGGAAAAATAAAGAGGTCAGTGTAGTTAGGGGTATGGGAAAGGGCGGGTAGTAGGAGACGAAGTCAGATTGGCCAATCATAGGCCATTTTAGAACCTTGACTTTTATTCTAAATGGAGAATAAGAGTCTTTGTAGTTTTTGACTGAAATGATCAGGTTTAAATATTAAATAGATAATTTTTATAACTGTATTGAAAGTGGATTGGTAGATGGAGGGAATAGTAAAAGCTATGAGATCAGTTAGGTGACTCACGTTGCTCTAAACTAATTAGAAATAAAGTTAGATGGGTGGTGGCAAATGCCTGTAATCCCAGTTGCTCAGGAGGCTGAGGCAGGAGGATTGCAAGTTCAAAGCCAGCCTCAGCAAAATCCAGGTGCTAAGCAATTTAGTGATTGCTGTCTCTAAATAAAATACAAAATAGGGATGGGCATATGGCTCAGTGGTGAGTGCCCCTGAGTTCAATCCCCAGTACCAAAAGGAAAAAAGAGAGAGAGAAAGTTAAAGGCTGCCCTATTTAACAAATAAAATGCTAGCTACCCATTGAAATTTAAAGTTTGTATAGATAATAAGTATTTTTTGGTATCACTATATCCCTGTTTTAGTCAGTTTTTCACTGCAGTGACCAAAAGATCTTACAAGAACAATTAGAGAAGGAAGAGTTTATTTTAGGGCTCATGGTTTTTGAGATTTCAGTCCATAGATGGCCAACTTTATTCTTTGAAGCCTGAGGTGAGGCAGAACATCATGGCAGAAGTGTATGGTAGAGGAAAGCAACTGGAGACAAGGTATCAGGAAGCAGAGAGAGAAACTCCCTTCACCAAGGACAAAATATACATTACAAAGATATACCACCAGGGCTGGAGTTGTGGCTCAGTGGCAGAGCACTTCCTGGCTTGTGAGGCCCTGGGTTCATCCTCAGCACTGCATATAAATAAATAAAGTAAAAGATCCATTGACAACTAAAAGATATACTCCCAATGACCTGTCTCCTCCAGCCTTACCTTACTTTCCTACAATTACCACCCAGTTTAATCCCTATCAGGGGATTGAATTATTGATTAGGTTAAAGCTCTCATCACCCAATCATTTCACCTCTAAACTGTTTTTCATTGTCTCACACATGAGCTTTTGGGGAACATCTCATATCTAAACCATAACAATCCTCAATGTTGCAATGTATATACTTGTAAAAAGCTATTTATTGTTTATTTGAAATTTAAATTTAAATAGACATCCTATATATTTATTTAGCAGCTGTAATAGTATGGAAGCAATTGAAGAATAAAAATTTTCAGGTTCTGCCTGGTGTGGTGGTGCATGCCTGTAATCCCAGTGGCTCCAGAGGCTGAGACCAGAGAATCTTGAGTTCAAAGCCAGCCTCAGCAATATCGAGGCACTAAGCAACTCAGACCTTATCCCCAAATAAAATACAAAATAAGGCTAGGGATATGGTTCAGTGGTCAGTGGTTGAGTGCCCCTGAATTCAATTACCAGTACCCCACCCCCCAAAAAATGTTATCAGGTTCTAGATACATTTTGAAGGTAGCATCAGTAGCATTTGATAATTGATTGGGTGTTAAGTATAAGAGAGAAATAGTAGTGAATAATTTTAATAAAATTACTATCAATTGAGTTAGGGAGTGTAGGTTTAGCAGAAAAGAGGAGGAATTCAGGTGCTGGATGATTAAAACATTAGTTGGGTGGTAGTTTAATGGTCATTCTTTTTATTATTATACTTTACAATTTACATGTGTAACAATTATTACATAGAAAATAATTATATAATAAAATAATTAAAAGGAAGTGATAAAGAACAGTTAAAGTTGTGGGCCTGACTGAGCATAAGGTTAACCATTAAGTTCCAAGTGTTGAATTTTGCAAATATTTCAAGACAATTGATATAGCTGCATTAAAATGGGTTGAAAGTCATAATCTAGAGTTGAAGTTCTTTACACATGTTTTAAAATATATTTGAAGTATATTTTTTCCTAATGCACCAGTCTTTCACCTATTATTTTTCTCAAGGGACTAGACCTCTAAAAACATAATTATTTCAGTATTTACTATTCCAGTATTTTTTTTTATAGTTGTTCCACATCTGGGACAATGGAACAAAATGTGTTAAAGAAGTGACTAGCAATCATAAGAGACTTGGTAGAGTATGAGAAAGTTAGAAAATAATGTCCATATTCATGATGTGCCCAGTGGCTGTATTAAATATTTCTGTAGGATGATTCAGTTAAATTCTCAAGATAAACATGCTTATGCTTACTTAAACTGTATGTGATAGAATTATTTTTTTCTCTTTCATATAGCGTTAAGACACGACCAGTTCGAATGCCTCCAGGATATCAAGCAGAACTTGTTATTCAGTTGGTGTGGGTAGATGGTGAGCCTCCTCAACAGATTACTAGTCTTGCTGTAAACTCAGCATATGGAATGTAAGTAATTAAACTTTCTTTCTGATTAGTATTATTTAATTTTTACATTTTACATGTTTCTTTTAAAATATTTAAGTGAGGTCTTTAATATTAGAATCCCTACCCTCATTTTCATTAGATTGAATGTAGGATGAGAAAAATAATAATTCAAACTTAAAATATTTATTCTTTTTTGATGTCAAACTTGAGGTAGTGTGCCCACTTCTGATATTATTAGAAGGTTGTTAGGGTGATACTACAATTGTACTTTTTTGTTTTATTGATTTTATATTTTCTGTATCTTCTCTCCTTGGATTTCCTTTTCTTTTGACTTGGCTTTTAGAGATCACTAATTCTCTCTCCAATTAATATAATGGTAGATCCACCATGAAGTTTAATTTCAATTATTTTATTTTTCTGTTTTAGACTATCCATTTGGGTCTTTTAAAGCTTTCAGTTCTTTTCCTAAATTGCCTCTCTTATTTACTTCTTTGAACATGTTGAATGAAGTTATTTTAAATATGTGTTTGATAGCTCCATATTTGATAATTATATTGTATTCGTATGTGCCAGATTTTTTTTAAATATGTATTTTTTAATTGAGACATGCAAATTATAATTTGTGTTTAGAAACTCAAATGATGTTACCACCCTCCAGAAAGTCTTTACTTTTCTTCTGGAGATCTACACTAGGAGAAAGGCTGAGAATTGCATAATCCAACCAGATATCAGATCTTTGGATTTTATTCTGTTAAAAGTCTACTTTAATTCCTTATTCCTAGGTCATAGCCCTCCGCAAAGGTTGCATCAAACTATACTCCCACCAGCACTGTTTGAGAATGCTTGTTTTCCCACAACCTTTCTAACAATAGTGTTAATCAAACTTTTGATCCCTGTCAATTTGTTCAGTAAAAATTGATGTGCCATTATACTAGTAGAATTTTCTTGTGTCTTCAGTGAAATTGAACAGCTTTTATGTACTGTGACATTTCTATTCTTTGTCCATTTTTCTGCAGAATTGTTGACCTTTCTTGTAAAGATTTGTAAAAGCTATTAATATATTAGGGGTATTACCTACCTTTGTCATGTAATTTGAAAAGACTTTTTTTCTGCTTTTGTTTGCTGTAAGACTTTGTTTAGGATGATGTTTTCACATGGATAACTTTTTGTGATAAAATCCTCCCCAAAAAACTTCAATGTTCATTAGCCTATATAGACTGTATTACATAAATTCAATTGAATTTTATGGAAATGAAAATGAATGAATTATATTTATGCAACAATTATTTTTAAATGTCAGATATATTTATTATAACATGTGAATCCATCAAAAGACTTTTTTTAAAGAGAGAGTGAGAGAGAGAGTGAGAATTTTTTTTTAATATTTATTTTTAGTTTTCGGCGGACACAACATCTTGTTTGTATGTGGTGCTGAGGATCGAACCCGGGCCGCACGCATGCCAGGCGAGCTCACTACCACTTGAGCCACATCCCCAGCCCCATCAAAAGACTTTTGAACTTTGGTTTTAATACTTTATAGTCCCACCAACAGTTCTTCATCTTAAGAATTCAATTGTCAGGATGGGGGGAAGAAATGTATGAGACAGGGCTGGTTGTTTTCTATTTGTCTTTAAAAATGCTTTTATTAGTGAATTATAGTTACATGTAATAATATGATATAATCAGATGTGTATGGAATTTAATTTGCTACATTTCAGTCTCTGGTACTTCTTCTTTCCCCCACACCCCTCATTCCCCTTCTCTATCTTCCTTCTATATCTTTATTTGTAATTAGTTTATTATAGATACTCATAAAGGTGAAATTCACTGTGGCATATTTATACATGCACATAGCATAATTTTGTTGAATTCATTCTGCATATCCTCTACTTTCCCAACCCTTCTCCCTCCCCCACAATCTCCTTCTTATACTCCATTGATATTGTTTCTCTGTATTTATGATATCTGACCCCCCTCCGTTCTTTTCCCTTAATTTGCTCTAGTTTCCACATGAGAGAAAACATTCAATTGATTTTCTGAGTCTGACTTATTTCTCTTTGCATGATGTTCTCCGTTTTCATCCTTTTGCCTCCAAATGCCATATTTTTTTAATTCTTTATGGCTGAGCAAAACCCCATTGTGTATATATATTACCTTCTCTTAATCTATTCATCTATTAATGAGCAGTTGGTCTAGTCTCATAATTTGGCTATTGTGAATTGTGCTGCTATAAACCTTTGTGTGGCTATATCATCACTATAGAATGATGATTTTAGTTATTTTGTATAAATGCCAAGGAGTGTGATCACTGGATCATATAGCTATTCTATTCTTAGTTTTATGAGGAATTTCCGTAGTGCCTTCCAGAGTGGTTGTAATTATATGCAGTCCCACCAATAATGTATGAGTGGTACCTATTCCTCCACATCTTTGCCACCATCTATTATTATTTGTACTCTTTTTTTATTAATTCTTTTTAATTATACATAATAGTAGAATCCATTTTGACATAATTAATGAAAGCATGGACTATAATTTGTTCTAATTTAGCAATTGCCATTCTGAACGGAATGAGATGAAACCTTGGAATAGTTTGGATTTGAATTTCCCTGATTGCTAGAGCTGTTGAACGTTTTTTTCCATTTATGTTTCTTTTGATAAATATCTGTTTAGGTCTTTTGCCCATGTATTCAATGGGTTATTTTGGGGGGTTAGGGATATTAACCTCTTTGAGTTTTACTTTTTATATATTTTAGATATTAATTCCATGTCAGAGGAGCAGCTGGCAAAGATTCTCTCCCATTCAGTATGCTCATACTTCATACACCTAATCATTTCCTTGGCTGTGCAGAAGCTTTTTAATTTGATGGCATCCCATTTATTGATTCTTGATTTTGTTTCTTGACTTTTAAGAGGTCTTATTAAGGAAGTCAGTGCCAGAACAGATATGAGGGAATATTGACCATATGTTTTCTTCTAGCAGTTACAAGATTTCTGCTCTAATTGTTAACCCTTTGATCCACTGTGATTTGACTTTTGTGCATGGTTAGATATAGGGATATAATTTCATTCTGTATGGACATCCAATTTTTCCAGCACCATTCTTTAAAAAGACCTGTCTCCAACATATATTTTTGACATCTTTGTCAAATATCAGATGACCATAAGTATGTGTCTTTGTCCCTGTGACTTCTATTCCCTTGGTCTTTATGCCTATTTTGATGCTAATACAATCCTGTTTTTGTCACTTTGGCTCTGTAGTATAATTTTAAATCAGGTATTATGATTAGTTCAGCATTGTTCTTTTTGCTTAGGATTGCTTTGGTTATTATGGATCGCTTGTGCTTTTTAGTGAATTTTAGGACGATCTTTGAAAATGTCTTTGGTATTTTAATGGGTATTACATTGAATCTGTATATTGCTTTTGGCAATATGACTGTTTGAAATGATTAATTCTCTTATACAAGCACATGGGAGGGCTTTCCATCTTCTAATGTCTTCTTCAAGTTCTTTCTTTGGTGTTCTGCAATTTTAATGGTAGAGATCTTTTACCTCCTTGATTAGATTTATTTCCAAGTATTTTTAGGGTGTTATAAATGGGACAATTTTTAAAAAATTTCTTTCTCAGCAGAATCATTGTTGGAATATAGGAAAGCTATTGACTTATGAATGTTGATCAGGTTTCCTGGTACTTTGCTATATTTTTTTATTGGCTCTAGAAATGTCCTGGTAGAGTCTTTCAGATACAGGATCAAGGATTGCAAACAGTTAATTTGATTTTTTTCTATTCATATCCTTATAACTTCCTTCTCTTGCCTGATTGCTCTGTCTAGAGTTTCAAAAAAGAGTGTTAAATAGAAGTGGTGACAGTGGACATTCTTGCATTTTTCTTGATCTAAGAGGAAATGTTGGGGGTGGGTCCCAAGATGGCCGTGAATAGAGTGCATCACACCCCATGTACCGCACCACTGCGTGGGTGAATAATGAGTTAGAACGACAAAAAACTATCTTATTAGGAACTTACAGCAAAATGGGGGTGCACCKAAACCTAGAGGAAGGATTTCCAGCACCGAGGTCCGGTAATTGAGTCTCATACACGAGCCAACTGTGCGACCAGAGATCCGGGCTGACTGATCCACGGTGTCCGCCCTGCGGCTACAGACAGCGGGGAGCCGCCAAGAAGCGACCAGCAAGTAGAGAGATTGCTGCAGATTCTGTGGAATCCTGCCTCCTGAGCACTCACGGAGCCCCGGACTGAGTTCGGGATTTCAGACGGGTAAGGAAGCGGGACAGTTCTATCCCCCACAATGGAAACTTCACCAAGGAAACCAGCTGTCACCATCTTGGAGAGCTGAAGTAACCACCGCCACTCTCCGACAGATTGCAACAATAAAACAGGTGCATGTTACTCAGCTCATCTCCCATACAGCGGGGAATTCACATAAAATCTCTCCTAGGCTCTCCGGAAGAGGGATTATCAGAGCAAGCCTGCATAAAGACTCGGGGAAAACTAAAGACACCCGACCTTCAACTCCCCCTCCCATCAGCGGGGGAAAATGAAACCTGTATTGCCAGCACGGGGGAGGGGCAAGCAGAAAAAATCAAAACAACAGAGTGCGGGAGTGGAGGGGGGGGCGGGGGTGTTCTCAATAGCCACCCTCCACGCCCAACAAACGGCAGGCTCAGAGTACAGTTTGAACTGCCGAGAGGCATCACTCAGGGGAAATCTGGTCTAACAGGAGAAACCAGGACTAGCAGGAGAAACCAGGGGACTAGAGGCCAGGCCCGCGCGGCTGGGCGGCTGGAGTCCGCCCTTTGCGACAGCCGGCCCATTGGCCCTGCGACTGGGCGGCTAGAGATCACCCGCCCACCAGTGACAGCCGGCCCATTGCCCCTGCAACTGAGTGGCTGGAGACCGCATGCCTGCGGGCGACTGGGCAGCTGGAGACCACCCGCCCACAAGCGACCAACTGCGCGACTAGTCGGCTAGAGATCACCCGCCCACCAGCGACAGCCAGCAC